CCCCTCCACTGCTCTCCAGGAGCAGTCTGCCAGCTCCCAGGAGCCTGACAGGGGCTGTAGAATGTGGGCGCCTTCCTGGTCCAGGGTGGAGATCATATTTGGGGGTGATGCCCCCAACGTCCATGATCTCTGCACTAGACGGAGGAATGCGGCCATCTAGGGCGGGATAGCTGCCAGCCTGGCCACCAAAGGCCACATGCGAACCCAGGAGCAGATTTGCATGAAAATCAAATTGGGGATACGGCGAGACCCACAACCCTGACCCCTGAGCTTCCCCTCCCAATTCTTCCCCTTGCTTCCCCCTTCCAACTCTCTCCTCCCAGGTTTCCCCCTTTCCTCTCCCAGTCTTTCTCCTCCCTTCTTCCATCCTGCCTCCTTTCCCCAGTCGCACCAGAGTTTCATTCCCTCCTCCCCCCCCCAGTTTTGTTAAATAGACAATTCGTATGAAAAAAACATGGTTTTTTTGTACATCAGTGAGGGAGGATGGGGGAGTGGTAAGTGGAAGGACATGAGGGAGGAATGAGGCACAAGCCCCCAGTGGGCCAGACTAGGGAGGCTCTTAGTGCTCCTCAGGGTGGAAACTCTCCTGCAAGGCCTCCTGGATACTGACAGCCCCCCAATAGACCTTCCAGATGGCAGCCTGCAGCAAGTGCAGCCAGGCTCTCAGCAACGTGTCCAAGAGAAGCACCAGAGCACCCAGGGACAGCTCTGGCTCCATGATGCAGAGTTCTGTGATGTCCCGAGTGAGGGCAACCAAAGCACACCAAGACAAAAATGCTTTGCTGTCCCTCATTGAGGTAGACAATCGAGCAGGGAAACCTGAGAACCAGCTGTCCAGGTGGGCGGGGGAGGGGGTCTTTAAGCACAGACCTCAGTTAGCCTCAAGCAGCAGCCCCACACAGTAAGTGCCCTGCCAGAACTGGTTCCGGAAAGCCTTAAATGCGATTCACAGTCCACTCAGTGTGGACATGCTATTTTGAAATAGCAAAACGCTATTTTGAAATGCATTTTGTGTGTAGACGTGTTATTTCGAAATAACTTATTTCAAATTAACTATTTCGAAATAAGATATTTCAAAATAACGCTGTAATATAGACATACCCCTACTGAAAGAGGAGGGGACTCTTTGTAAAGTGGGAAGGGAAAATTTGCAAATATTAGCCAGATAAGATATATTAACTAGATCAGTATTAAACATTATTTACACACATTTGTTTTTGAATAGCTTGAAATAAAATGTTCTCAAAAGTTGTAATACTGGTTTCAGGTAATTAGCTCTCTCAATTCACACACACAGAGCACTCCGCCAGCCCCCTATTACCCACTCCCGCATGCACAAACAAAAAGCTCTTCAAACAAAACAAAGAAAGAGAGGGAGAAGCCTGCCCATTATGTCCCTCTTGATCTACAATATGGATCTGTTCCAATCTAGCAGGTAATTAAATGATGAGGCATCCTTTTTAATCCACATTTTATGTTCACAATCAAGTCTTTGGAATATTTATATAATTAAATCATGTGATCCCCTTTAATGAAACTCTTAATTAGCAAAATATAATTAAACTGGGTTTCTTAAAACTGAATGTCACAGTATTTCTAAGGTGCTTTGCTTTTAAACATCTATGTTAGAGTGTTAACACTGGGGAGAGAAGCTGAAAAAACTAGCTTAAAAATACTCATATAAATTACTTCTATAATGCAAAATTTGCATTGTCCAATTAGTCACACGTATTAAAAACACTTAGGGTGCGTCTAGACTGGCATGATTCTGCGCAAAATCAACTGCTTTTGTGCAAAATCTTGCTACCTGTCTACACTGGCCACGAGTATTTGCGCAAGAACACGCCGCTGTTGAAACTGATCAGTTTCAGCAGCGGCTGAATCTGGACGCCAGTTCCGACTTACATACAGATTCAACTTAAGAACAAACCTACAGTCCCTATCTTGTACGTAACCCAGGGACTGCCTGTATTTTGAAATGCAGTTTGTGTGTAGACGTGTTATTTCAAAATAAGATATTCTGAAATAACTCTGTAGTGTAGACATACCCATATGAGAGGAGAGGATGGCTATGGGGATTAGCTATAAAGAGAGCCCGAGTCTCATTTGCACGTAAGCCACTTTACACTGTCATAGTGGGGTAAAATGGCCTTAGTCAGGCCCAATAGTTTTTCAGCTCTTGATTTAAGCCTCTAGAAGCTGTGGATATCTTACGCTTCTTTGAGAGTCTAAGGATTGTTCCCAGTGGACCAGTATTCACATCTACTCTATTTAAGATTTAGCTCACATTCATCACCATGGTATCTGAGTGCCTTGCAAGTTAAAATATATCTTTTAAAAGTACCTCACATTTCTCTCCCTCCACGCCCACATACAGATTTGGGGCTTTTTAAAATAACCTGGGGAAGGCTATGTTAAATGTGAGCTATTGTATTTTGTTCTGAGATGTGGTGGTTCCTGGTCATTCTGATGTCCTCTAGGAGCAGCACCACACTCTTAGACAAGTGCTGTCCTATTGGCTCACATAGAACTAAAACCTCTATAACAGTGATGTAAATTTTAGAAGAGATGGCTACAATTCTGAATGAGCACAGAGATTACATTATCTTTCCACCCTTCCAAGCACACAAGTGAGAAGATGCATGTTGTTCAAACTGCATCTGTTGTATGGATAGGCAGACAATTTCAAAATCCAGGGTTCATGAGGCTTTTCAATAGGGTATTACACTTAACACAGAGTGAGCTCTTAAAATGGACATTCCACACAGGACAAAGCTAGGGCTTTCTAGACCTAGCTCCTAGGACAAATCCACCCATGTGAGCTGTGAAATGGCAATGGGGACAAAAAGTCAGTCCAAAGCATAGCGTGTTTAACTTAATCATTATAATTATTAACCTTCTCCTAGTGACATTTTAAAAAAACGTAAGTATCTTTTTATGATTTAACTGTTCCTTATGGTGCTTTTACTGAATATTATGGCATCTG